GTCCGCTGGGCACGAAGCATCTGGCACCTCCATGCGATTTGCTTAGTTCGATACTGAGGTAGGAGCAGTGTGTATTACTACCTTTATTTCCAAAGTAGTTTAGATCCTTAATATATAAAAGAACCCTAAAACTGAACTGTGATGGAACATTTTGACTCTTAAATCCTTAAAACAAAAAGAGCCACTTAGCTTCATTTGGAATAAATGTGTGACGATAATTAGAATTTGTATAGTGCCGCATGGTTTATAAAGTACTTTATGCGGACCTTGTGGAGAGAGATTTTTTGATGACAAAGATGACTTAACTACTTCATATCTGTTTATTCCATGACCAAAACTGATTGTGTTTTTTCCCCATTGAAAAGTCAACATAGATTTAAGCGGTTGCTATTAAACACCTACAGATCTGCTGTCTAATTGGTGCATTTGTGGCCATCAAAGGGACCCTCACCGATCTTGTCAGATACTCAGCCTGATACTGTGACCTGTCAGTTCAAACCCGGAAGTCAGACACGTCCCTGCAGACACCAGTGGGTGGCACGTCTCCTCCTGCCGTGCGGTTGCCCAGCGGGTCCACACAGCACCGACGCTGTGACAGTGACCAGCCGCGCCCTGGAGGCACGCTGTCGAGCCGGGACCACCCTTGGCCTTCCTCATCTGTTATCCCCGTCTAGTTTTGGGGTCAGAGCATTTTACCCCTTGGGTTCAGAGCATTTTCTGGTGTGCCAGGAAGCATAACAGTGGTTTTAGATGAGAAATACTCAGTTTAGTAACATCTGTTTTTGAGCCCCATATGGAAAGGATACCTGTCAATAAAAACCACTGCCCCCTGGCTTCTCGGAGATGTGCGTCGCATGCAGACCTGTGTGCACCAGCCAAGGCAGCTGCTCGGTGGCCGCAGGTGATGCTTTAAGCCGGTTTCACACCCCGTGGGGTTGCAGCCTGCTTTTCCTGAAAACGAAGGCGTTGCCACTGAGTTTACTGGGGCTGTGCCAGACAACCCCTCATTTGTTTTGTTTTAGTTTGGTCTCTTTGTTTTTTTACAGAAGATTCCAGTAATGAAATAAACCTACATTTTTCTAAAAAAAAAAAAAACAGGCCAATGCATGGCCCCCAGCTCCAACCCAGAAGCCCTTTGAAAGGCATCAGCGAGCTAGGAAATCGGACCGTTTAGAAGTTCTAGCGTGCCGTGTATCCCTTTATAGAATCGGCTTTGTTAAGAATTCTTTTTAATAGATGAAATACAGGAAACCTTGCCTTGGATGCCCCTTCATCATCCAGTTTTACCTAAACATGAAAAGTATTTCTTATAAAGAGAGATTTTTTCTGTATCATTTAGGGTTTTTTTTTCCTCCCATTTTTACTTTAGTTTTTGCTTCCTGCTTGTTCCCAAATCCATGAGTTATAGACGTGTAAGTAGAATTTTTCTCCCTCCCTGAACAGCAGTGTTTTGACTGTAGCATCTCGGTGTTCGTTATATTAACGGGGGTGGGAGCGGGTAAGTGTTTTCCAGATCGAGTTTCCTACTTTGTCAATCCCTTAAATGTGTCCCTTAAAACGACAGAATTTTAAGTGAAGGCGGAAAGCACAGATTTTACCGGCTCACGTGGAGACAGCGATCTTACATTTTGGGGGAGCTGTTCTGCCCCTTTGCTTCTTGCATCGGGTGCTGGGATCAGCAGCACTAGACCTCTTCATGTCACCTTTTGTAGATGCACATTTCAAAGATACAGGAGGATGTCAGATTGGAGGACCTCGCTGGCAGTGCAGTGAGCAAATACAGGCCTTCGGGCCGATTTCTGAGGTGTAACTTATAAGCAAGTTTATTTAGGCCGCTTGCGTGAGTGTGTATTCACTTGGCAAGAGACGATAAAACAAGTTAAATTCAAGTCTGCCCGGGACTACACCTGTGCTAGAAAATGGACTGTCCGGACCACACATTCGGAAGGAAATGAAACAGCAGGGTGGGGCTGGAACCATGACAAACGGGCTGTGGTCGCCGTCACGCTAACGGGGTCTCGGTTTCTGTGTTTGTTGACAGTTCCCTCCACAGCTGCCATGATATCGTTCTACGCAGAAGCTACCTGGGGAGCTGGGGCTTCAGTATCGTTGGCGGATATGAAGAAAACCACACCAATCAGCCTTTCTTCATTAAAACCATCGTCTTGGGAACTCCGGCTTATTATGACGGAAGATTGAAGTGAGTCTCGTGTATTGACTGGTGTGATTCAGGTTTGTTGTGATGGACACGACCTAGACCGGGCTCAGCTCCAAATTCAGCCTGTCGTCTGTTCTTGCGAATAAAGTTTTATTGGAACGTGGCCACGCTCGCTCATTGCCATGTCATCCGAGGCTCCTTCTGAGCCGTAGTGGCAGAGCTGAGCCATGACAGAGCCCGCGTGATTCGCTAAGCCTAAAATCCTTATTTATCATGTGGCCCTTTGCAGGAAGACTTGGCCAGCCTTGACCTAGACCGAAGCGTCACCTTTGCCACCTTGCCACTCCTAGCTGCGTTTGGCTAATCTGATGACAGAACTGACATGGAGCCATCAGATCGGAGTCACTGTGAAGTGATCACTAGCTCAGAGCAGTGTTCACACCACCCAGTCCTGTCGTTAGATGGCTGTGCATTCTTTCTGTTTTTCTCACAGAACTGACGTCTGCCCAGCATTACATGTATGCAGGCTCCACGTGGGGGACTCAGTAAATACTCGATGAATGACTATGTGACAGTTTTCAGTGTGCCGCCACAGTGTGAAGTGCTCGCGATTGTGTTATTGAATTTTCTTAACCTATGAGGGTTTTTTTTGGTGGTGTTACTCCTGGTTTATAAACGAGATAACAGGCATAAAAAGGTTACGGAACTTGCTGCAGTCACATAGCTGAGGGTGGCTGACCGCCATGCAAACCCACGGCCATCCGGCTGCATCGCCCTCCCGGTCACACCTCTGCCAGTCGTCACTGCTGGGCAGAAAGACAGAGGTGTTACGTCAAGAGATTATACAAACAGAGAGAAAATGGGTGATTCTAAGTTCTTAGTGCCTAGTTCTTAAAACGTTAATGTTGACGTTTTACATAGAATGCCGCACAAATGGCAGGTTTATACTATAAACGATATTGTGAAAAGTCCATCAGGTTACGCTCCAAGTCAGTCCTAGATTCGTTTATAAGGTGGAAAGCATGATTTTACAAGGAAAGGGTAGGGGGAAATGAATGGACCGTTCTCTAGGCTCAATCACCCAACCAGTTTGGGTCTCAACGAATTGGCTTATAATTTGCATTTCACCTGTTTCCAAAAAGAAATGGAGGTGGCTAACAATAAAATAGCATATTCATATTATAAACTAAAAACCCCAAATCTTAAAAAACAGGAAGGTCTTCAGGTCCGTTATCCATTTGCGATAATTCTGTTTGGAGGACAGCAGGCCTCAGTAGCCGATGGAAGATGAGGTGTGCGTCTTATTCTCAATTTAACTGAAGCCTCAATTGTATCAGCTCTAAGAATGAAGAGAGAAATAACAGTCAAAATAATAAGCCACCCCCTCCAAATGCATTATTTGGTATTTTTAAAGGAGGCGGCAGATTTCTTCACCTAATTCTATTTTGCTTAAGCTGATGTGAAAATTATTCTGCTTGCCCTTGAAATCACCCATCAGTCACAGGAGAGGTTGGCACAGGGGTGTCCTCGATTGGCCGATAGAGGCTTAAAAAGTCACCCCGCTTGTTTCTCAGAGTTGATAATACACCCTAATCATGTTGACGGTCAAGTGAAACTGCGATTTTCATGCTAAACAAATCTCAGGATAACGTTTTAATGCATGCAAGCAGTGACAATCTGTTTCTGTTTCTGTTTCTGTCTGCCTGTCCCTGTCCAGGTGTGGGGACATGATCGTGGCGGTGAATGGCCTCTCGACGGTGGGCATGAGCCACTCCGCGCTCGTCCCCATGTTGAAGGAGCAAAGGAACAAAGTAACTCTGACCGTTATTTGCTGGCCTGGCAGCCTGGTGTAGATTTTGAAATTGGTTCGGAGTCAGCATCTTCCTTTTTTAGGTTCTGGAAAGAAAACCCTTTCGTGTTGTTGTGTTTCTGGTTGTTACGAGCTGCTGACACAGCTGGTATTTGCAGGGCCCAAAACCACTGGGTGTCCGTTCGTTGCCATTTAAGTGGTTTTCCTCCGATTAGCCACATTTCTCGGAGCTCGGACACAGTCTTCCACTAACCCCGTGAGTTCAGATTTTCAGAATGTGACTTGTCATAATGAACGAACTGTCCAAACTGTGACCCAGCCAGCTGGATTAGAGGACTTCCGGTGGCTGCGTTTTCACCCACTGAATCCTAAGATGCGTTACACACGCCCCAAGACGGGTACCAGTGAAAACAGCAGCCGTGGCATCTGCTGTCAGTGGCGCCACCAGCGCCGTGAATGGACACATTTTAAGTTTAGATGGTCACCCTTTCCCGTTCGTCATTGGTGCCAACATCTCACAACTTCGTGTAGTCTATAAGGTGATTTTTCTGGCTTATTTTATTTCTGCCGTAATCTCCCAGTACTCATAGATAATGAAGACGTAAGTCTGATACCACTAAAGAGATGTATACAAAATAACGTACCATTATTAGAACAGTAGAGAATAAAAGATAATGTGATCCAGAATTTGGGAGATAATTATAGGTTAGTGCTGGGGATGGTAAAGGCTGCATTTACTTGAATAGTCCAAAAGCATTAAAGATTCCTTTCCAAAGGAATGTTTTCTTATGTAGGAGAATTTCGAAGCAGTTTTTGCTAACAATCATTTTCTAGAGTTTATATTATCCTTCTATCAGCAAACTTGGCTGGAAATGTTTTTGTGATTTATTATGCAATTAAACTAGATGATAAAGGTAAAGCCATGTTGCTATTAAATACACACTCGTGTCGCAGCTAAGTAGGTGAAGGTAGACTTTTTTAATTCTGATCAGACTCTTGAGTATTTTAGAAACCCTTACTTTTCCCCATTATTTCTTTAATTATGAACTTAATGATTTCAAGACAAAGTCTGAGAAGTTCTGTGGGTTTTTTTGGGTTTTTTTTTGTTTTTTTTTAATCTGAAATAGTAGGTTTTAGATGTTAATATCTTTCAATTAGTTTTTGGTCACCAGACTATTTCATATTTTTGAAATGTTTTTTGAAAACTATGACCAGCCCATTTTGTTCCTCTTTTATTCAATATGGTTCTTCCTTTGGAAGAACGTATAAAGAAGCGACTGAGAGAAAAATACCCCCACCTTATTAATATTATGCATACTTGAAACACGGTTCGTTAGCAACCTAGTTCAGAATCTGAGCTAATTTACGAGTGACCTCTGTAACAGATGGTATTGATGATCAGAGAATGTACTTCAGAATACCACAGTATGTCATGAAGTGTGACCACTCATTTGCAAACTTAGCAATCGCATTGCTGGGGTTTAGTGTTCCTGTACCATGTCACTGATTATGCCAGTTTGATCATGATTTTTTCAAACAGATCTCTTTTGAATAAATAAGAAATGGCAACAGTAATTGTTACTAGCTTGTTCAACCCCTTAGCTGGACTGTTCCCGGGTACAGTGGCGGGGGTGGCGGCCCATCCAGTACATTGCTGTTATGACTGGCCATGAAGCACTTTGATACCGAAATGCTTTGATATTCTAATCAACACGGAACAAGTTTTTTTCCTGCTCCCCAAATAGAATTTTGTAACCAACTTTGCTATTTTATAAAACGTTTTGTAAGACTGCGTCATTTTGGTGGGAAGACCATCCATCAGCAAATATCTTAACTACTACTTTCTTATATATGAAATACTTTCGTTGAATCCAGTGGTATAATGAGTATTTTGAAAGAAGAAATTTTTTTCATTATTATTTTTATCATGGGAATCTTGAAATCTGCTTCAGTTAATTCAGTGTTATTACAAAAGACTTTATAGCTTTTGGTCAGGATGATATTTGGTGATGGCAACTTGTTCATAATTTATTGTTATTGTTGAAATATTTGAATTTTGTCATTTGACGCTTAAATGGTGAAATATCTCGATTTGTTCTGTGCCTTCGGTTTAAATTATTTCAGGATTTTCAGATATGTTGACACAGTGGCGCGGCGATCATTGCAGATGGGAATAAACGTCACCCTTTCTGTCAGGCGCCTTGCGGATGTCGACTCCGTGTGCGACCCTCACTTCCGTCGACGCAGATCCCGAGCGTGACAGCCCAGGGCCGCGGGTCCCCCTGCTCATCCCCACTCCCGCGGCAGGACGCGCACGACCCCTCCGCCCCAGGGCTGCCTGTCACCTCCGCAGTACCCTAGACGCGCGGCGGCCAAGTCCCCGAAGTGTCACTCGTGCTGCACGTCAAAACGGCGATGCCTGGGACACACTGGATTCCACGGAATAGAGTGTCAAAATTAGTCCCTCCTGTTTCTTGTCACTTTGTTTAAGGGTGGTTGCTGGGAGATTGTGAATGACACGCGGGGCCCCTCTCGTGTTTCTGGGGGACAGGGCGCAGGTGTCCTCACCCTTTCGCTGTCCCAGCACTTACCAGGCCAGGAGGCCCCGAGATGGTGGCTTCTACTTCGTTAGAGCTTTGATCATTCCCTGCATTTAAAATATATATATATATATAGTTAGTCAGGAGAAGGTTGTCTCCTGATTTCCTAGTAACTGAAGTTGTCACCACGGCCTCTGTGTCTGACCCCTACTTGGGTTTCCAGAGGATTCTGCAGTCCCGCTGAGTCCTGCAGGCTCCCACACCCGAGGCGCTGCCCCCGCGCGGGCTCACGGCATCCCCTCATCCCTCCCCTGCATGTCCCACGGCCACCTCGCCCCTCCTGCCTCCACTCCCCGCTCACCAGGGACTCGCCCGCCCTGTGCCCAACCTCCATCCTTTACGTTCCCATCTGCCATGGCTCTGACCGCTTTCTGCCTAACGCCTGGAATCTGTTCCTTTTTCTCGGGGTGAGACCGAGGTCACGGGACTTGGGAGCAAGATCGTCAAGGCAAAGAGCCCTTTTCCTCATGTCGCATGGCGTCTGTGTACCATCGACGCGATTTGCGACTGTCGATGTTGGCCTTGGTCCCTCAAGGCTTGGTTGGGTCTCCCCAAAGTAAAGCTCTTCTACCCGTCCCCCCCCCCGTCCCCCCACACACTGCACTCTGAACAGAAGTCGCTGTGCTGTCGGGTCTCCCCACACACTGCACTCTGAACAGAAGTCGCTGTGCACAGCCTGCAATTGTCAGTGGGGCGTCCGCTCTCCCTCCCTTTATATCCGGGCTGCTGGGAAGTGAGGGGGACCCCGGTGCCGCATAAGGGGGCCTCGTGGGGGAAGGGCAGGAAGGGAGCAGACTATCAGGAGCACATTTCTTTCTTTAAAAGCGGGTCTTCGTTGTCCCGCGTTCTCGCCAACATCTGGCTTTATCGGAGCGAAGGGGTCGAGGTGGCATCTCGCGTGGTTTCCATTCGCATTTCCTGAGCACCGGTGAATCCGGTGCCTCCTCACATGTTTACTGGCCATTCCAGGAGCTTCCGTGGTGACCACTCTCTAATAGGCTGTTCGCATTTCTCTTACTGATTTATAGGATGTTTTTTTACTCTGGATATCAGTACCGAGTGGGTGCAGATACCTCCTCACGGCCCGTGGCTTCTCTCTTCAGCTCTGTAAAAACGTGATGAACCGCAGTTCGTAATGATGTAGACAGATGCACAGACAGCGGATTCCGTTTTTATCTCCTTTTGAAACTTCTTCTGCTAAGCGTTGTCCACTTACCTCGTTGTGACGATTGTGCTTTTTCCTTCCATCTGACGTGTGCTTTCAACTTACTCTGCTCTCTGTGCGTGACTCTTGCTTCTACTGAATTCTAAGGCCCTTTCTGTTCGTGCGGTGGTTACTCGTGAGTTTTCCTCTGTGCACATTTGACATAAAGTCTTAGGCTGACCAGTCGTCCTCTTCGTCCTCCCTCTGTACCCTGTGGGGACCTGAGACCCCAGTCGCCCTGCAGTCTGACGCATTGGCTAGTATTACAGTTTCTTTATCTTTTTCTCCACTTAGTCATTATTACTATTATCATCGTTTTATGACCGTCGAGATTTGTTTAGAGTTAGTTTCTGAACTATGTCAAATACAGGTAGTTCTCTATGGGAACATCCCTCAAACAGCGTGTGGGAAACAGAAGGCCACAGAGGAACAAATAGCAACGTGGCGACCCGGGCAGTGTGGGAGCTGGCGTCGCCGTCCAGATATCGGCGAGATTCCGTAAAAGCGTGGGACGCGGCGACATCGTCACCGTCTTGCTGCCCGCTTCTCAGCCGTTTGGGGTCACTAAAGCGACTTCTTATTTTCCAGGGCTCCATTTCTCAAACTCGGTTGCTATTCTTTGTGGTTCCCCCAATACGTGAAGCTGTGGGCAGAAACACGGTGGGTCAAAATTACATTCGGCGGCCACCAACCCGAGTGTCAGCTGCTCGGGGCACGACGCCGAGTTCCTCCCGACTCGAGCTCCCACGCTACGGTAGTTACTCAGACTTAACTACCTTAGAATCTGAGTGTTTACAGTAGACGTTAACTTGGCACCTTCCACAAAGAATAGGTATCTTACATTAACATATTGACAGACGGAGTGCGGGATACTTAAGTGTCCCATCTTCGAGTCGCCCGAAGCACTGTGAGAACACCCAGACACGTCCAGCCGACGTGTTTCTCCCCCAGGTCACCATTTAAGTGAGAATTTGTTTCGCGCTGTGTGTGTGCACGATGCGTCGATGGGCTCTGAACCACTCTGTAACACCTAACTTTATCTTTCATAATCCAGACCGTCTTCCATTTGGCCACATTTGGCGATAAACCCGTATGGATTATACGGGCCTCGCAAGCCGCTGTCCGGTCGCTGGCCAGGAATTCATAGCTGAGCTTTCTCTCTTTAAGTCTCTTCTCTGCCTGCTGAAGGCAGGGCTTCAACTCCTCAGGGTCCTTATTCAAAAGCTCTTTTGCCATTTCACAGTGCAAATCTATTCCATTTAACTGTGCAACCAATTAATTTCTATGGCAACACAAGAGCTCTTTAGAAGTAAAGTCCTACGTGGAAGCGCAGTGCCTACTGGCTGTGAAGTGCCTGAGGTCAGAGATGCTGAATCGTAATCACGCGCGGGAGTAAAGGACCAGCCCCGGGAGGCCTGCCGGCCCCTTGCACGTGGCGGAGCGTGTGCCTCCCACGCGGAGGTGGCGGCCGCAGCCCTGGCGGCTGCATGCCGGCCACTTAAAGTCGTCCATCCAGGCTCCGTTCGCTCGCCCGCAAGTGACGCTTTGAAGCTGGGCTGTTCCGCAAACCTGCGTCTGTCATGGCCTTGTGTGCTCGATCGTTTTCAGTTTCAAGGTGAACCCAGCACAGCCCACCCTGGGGTTGCCCACGGGCTGACCGCCCGGTCAAGAAGTCACGTTAGAAAGACCTCTCTCGCCTGGCCTCTGGTGGATGAGGTTCTGAGGATGCAGGCAGCTGCCAAAAATCGTTTTTCTTTACTTTGCCTGGATTTTATTAAAAAGCCTTTTCTCCCCCAAACTCTAGAATCAACCCAAGAAGGTTTTGGGTCCTGGGCTGTGCCGAGTCACAGAGCTGTGACTGTGACCCTCTCCCACCAGCCGACACCCAAGGCAGCGACGCCCCAGAACAGCCATGCACATTTGCCTGTTCCGTTCTTCGTTGGAGTCAGGCCCTTGCCTGGCCTGTCACCGTCGTGGGACCCCAGCCCGTGCTGAGGTAGGCGGGCGCCTGTGGGGGCTGGCGAGCGCTCACAGCAGCGAAGCTTGCCCTGTGGGTAATGCATAAACATTTAAGGAAAATGAGTATTTGTCTCCTCTCCTAAGTCGTTCCAAAGGACACGCTGTCCTTGTCCCAGCCCAGTCCCCACACCCTGCTAGTCTCCCCCGTGGGCCGGAACCCACAGAACCCATGCTTCCGGTATAGGAGCCACGGCTGCGACATCTCATCTACACCTCGCTTCGCTGCAGGCTTTTCCACGGATGGGTAAGTCTCACTGTGATTGCTTTTTTAGTATAACTTGTCCCTGTCTCTCTCCTCAGCTGGAGTTTGGAAACTGAGAGGAAAACTCTCTCTCCACCTATTACTTTTGATATTTTAAATGAATGTTGGGCAAGCACAGTGCACAAAACACTTCCTGATTAATCTTCGCCTCTCACCCAGCAAATATGTTTTTAGCATCTACGACGTGCCAGGCACTGTTCTGGGGGCTGAGTCCATCGGTCACCAAGACTGAGTTGTCGGCTGTCTCCGAGCCCATATTCCAAAGAGGGGAATAACAAACAATAAAATAAATAATATAATTTTAGACGGCGAGAAACACTGTGAAGAATATAAAGCCAATATGACGCCTGTCTCCTTGCTGGTTGAACCGTGTGAGATGCGGTCGGGGAGGGCTTCTCTAAGGAGGCATCAGAGGCCGAATCCAGGGTCGCTGTCACCTGCCGGATTGTGCAGGATTGTTGAATGGCCATCGGAAGCTTTCGGCCCATTCGGCGGTGATCATGTTCAGGCTGTGCCAGCGCGACAGGCTCCGGGCTCATTGCACTGTGACTGCGGAACCAGCTCCAACTGGCCCTATCCCGTTTCTTACAAAATACTCAGTTGTTTTTCAGAGACAACGGAACAAAACAGCACAAAGCATACGCATAGGAGGAAATGTTGCAAATTACGCCCAGAACCAAAGCTTCTTCCCCTGCCCCCCGCCACACGCGCGCACACACGCGCACACACGTGCACACGCGCACACGTAACCGAAGGACCGGGCCTCCGCCAGACCCTACATGCAAGCACACCTTCAGGTCTGCTGTCCAGGAAGGCCTGGTGCTGAAACCCCAGATCCAGGAGACAGTTTTGAGCGCTGACGCCTGTCTCCTTGCTGGTTGACTTCGCAATAAAGCTGCTTCCTTTTCTCGAAAGTCAGTGCCATGCTGTTGGCTTCCGTGCACATCGAGCTGGGGAATGGCACGCTAGCTGGACTCCTGTCCTTTGTCCTTCTTCTCGGTAGCAAAAACACTGGCAGATGCCGGCACACACACGACACTGTTTTAGAGGGAGGTCAGCTGGGCGGCACGGCAGATAGAGACAGACAGGTCTAGATCCGCTCCTGCCACT